TGCTGCTGTTGCTGCTGGTGTCTGTCCCCCAAGACGATAGCACGCAGAAACTCGCTGCCTCGCTACCCTTCAAAACTCAATTACGAAGTGGCGTGCTCGCCTACGTTGGCCGATGACTGCGCGCGAGCTCCGCAGCATAGGCCAGCACCACCCACACGGAAAGCCAAATGAAAAACTAATTTCCTTCGAGTATATTTAACGTGCCGTTGCTCGACTGCGAAAGAAAATCTCGTGGCCGCAGCCTCGCTGGCAGGACGCGCGACGCTCGCTTGCCTCGCTCTAACGGGGGCTCTCAGCTTATATACGTATAGGCTTTTAGAATAAACATTCCCTCTGGCCTAAAGCTAAACCAACGGTTGCCGGCGAATCACGTGAAATTGTCTGTAAGTGTATCGGTGCCATCTCGCTCGGCCGAGCTGGCCTGATCCTCGTGCAGCCGCGCGTCGTCCCTCCGCTCGTTTCTACTGTAATAAAATAAAAAAGAAAAAAGTGTAGGTAATAAGGGATAGGATTTTCTTGCGGTCGCAACTCGCATGTATATATATAGAAGCCTCTCCTTGCGGCCGAGTATATACACGCGACGAATGAGCACATTGTGTATTTCCGCTTGCGCGATTTTCTTTCTTCTTTTTCATGGGATTTCTAACTCTAGGGCCGACGAATGCGGAGCCTCGTCACGGGCTCTACGCTGCCGCCGCAATGTGCCCCCCTCCGTCCGTCATAATTGGATTCTTAAACGATTTTCTGACATGATATTATTATTCGGCATTGGGTCGGTCGCGTCGCTGCGTTATGTATATTATAAAAGAGCGAGAGACAAAAAAGAGGCTTGGATCCTCGCTGATCGCGTCTGGCTTTATGTATTTTTTCGCACACATTCGCACAAAAGCGGAATTATCGAAATTTCGGCGCCGTGCGTAAAGCCTCGTAATTAAAGTGAAAAAAAATCTTGCCTGGCGTGGGGTAATTACAGAGGGATGCGCGCACCAAGTATAGAGTAAAACTCATTGTTTGCACTGTGGCGCACGAGGAAATTCAAACAAATAATTGAATACTATGTGCGTTCGCGTGGCTACGGGGTCAGAGTCGAGCGCGAAGCCGAACGATCTCTTGACGAAGCCGAAAAAGCTGAAATTTTTTTATCGCTCTTAAAATTGATAAAAGCAAAATAATTACTCGACTCGAGCCTTTGGCGCTGCAGAGTCAAGAGTACTGTGCAGATACGACTCTCTGGGCCGTGCAATTTATAAATAATTAGTCTTCCGTTAAACGTCTTAATCGATCTTTTCATCTCTTTTTCAGGTCCTTCTTCTTTTTTATTCCACACTCCTCGGGTGCATCGACTGATCGCTCGACAATCTATCGACGCGTACACACACGTACACAGACACACATGACGCTCTACCTGCTTATCTCATTTTACATAATTAAGGTGCGCGAAAATGGTTGAAAATATATACACGTATCCCGTTAATTCGCAAAATATATGCATCATCACGCGCGCGCTCGAGCGAATTATGAAGTGTACGATCAGCATTATTGAGGGCTTATATGATTTACACAATAAACGTGTCATCGCCGAAGCACGCGCAGCCCGTCTGTGTAACTGCATCGCAGCCTCGACGTTTTTACACTGTTTATTGGTTGATCGGGACAAAGTCGTCTTACGCTTGCGCGGAAAGTCGGTAATCGATCGTGAATGCGTCGATATATATAGTGTAAACGCAATTTAGCATCGAATGACAGGAGCTGATCTTTGAGCAGCGCGACTGATTCGCAACATACTTATTGCATTGATTAAGTTCGCCGCTAGCAAGTACGCGCCATCGTAGCATTGCGGCACGGAGAAGACGAATAACAGCTTATATATTCGCGCGAAACGCCGCCAAGCCATTTATTTACTTGTATATTATATACATAAACGTACATTTTTCCCGACCAATACGCGAGAATTCCTTGGGTTGATTCGTCTGACCGAGATAAACGAGATCCGCTTGGGCACATAATAATATCGCAAAGTGACTCTCGGATGTATACATATTTACTTATAATGCTACAAGCGATCATTGCGCGTTCATAGATACAGCTGCATTACTAAGTGCAGTTGCGGCGCGACTCGCGCACATCGACGCGATTATTCACGCGGATCGCGGCTAGGCAAATTTAATAATTACCAGCGCCGTACGCTACTTTACGGTAATTCGTAGAAAAGGTCGAGCTTTTATAATAATAACCTGCATATCTGCATTGCGCGGAACTCGATGCAACCACAATCTCGAAAATCTCTCCTCGTCTTACAAACGATACGCGTTAATTGACATGCCGAACGACCAGACAATGCATGCGATATTTTGAAAGTTTCGTTTTACAAATGCTCCGCTTCTCGAATGGCCATACTCGTCGAATTCGGTCACTCAATGCACGGCGGGCACATTCGATAAGAGGATTTGGAAATTCGCTCTGTATTCTTCGAGTTAAAATATACTTGCGTATAATTCGGTTAATCTTTTTTACGACAAAATGCGAGAATTAAAATCCGCAAATACGTTAATGCGTGCGTGTAATGGGGCTCGTCGTCGCTCTCTTAATGACTCCTCGACAACGACGATTGTGAGTCAAAGCCGAGGTATGCGTACAAGCGATATACGCATGCACGCTCGAACACATATGCACTTGACTGCGGGAGAGAACATCATCGACGATCATCGAACGTTACGTTTGAAATCAGTGCGGCTCGCTTCTCTCTCTCTACCTCTCTCTGTTTATGTGTGATGTTATTATAGGCACACATGTATAATGTATGAATATGTATCCCTCGCAAGTATACGCGAATACGACGGAACGAATACGGCTGCGTCGCAGTGCAGCGCAGCTATACATTGAGATAAGGAGTCGCGCGCATACATAAGGTAAGTGTGGCGCGCGCTCGATCGAGCTGCCGCACATCGAGCTTATAAATGTACGATAATACGTATATTCAAGTCGTCGTTTATGGGCAATTTTGTAATACGGCTGATGGTGCCTTTGAGAATGACTGCATTAGCATGTTGCCGAGAGTTTGCGTTTAATGAGAGATGCTTGTACATATATATATGCACGCGGCGCATTTTAAGCTGCTCGATCCTTGGCATACCTTGGCCATTTATATATTTACGCGCTCTAGCTTATGTACGCGAATGAGCTTTTTAAGCGCGTATAAATATATCGTTAACAAATCTGCGCGGATTTATCTAACTGTAGTCATAATAGATATGCATAAATCAGGAGCTCGCGCGCGCAACAGCAGTTGCAAATACTTCATACGCGTATAAAACAGACATAACAATTCGACGAATGCTCGGGCGAGCGAGTAAGTACTATACGCGCGTATTGTCGAGCGCACGTCGATGCTCAGGCAAACATTTGAGCTGGCGCGCGGCAGAAAATTGTTCGTACTCGAGCTGGCAGCTGCGGATCGTAGCGCATAGCGAGATAATAAGTCGAGGCTCGTCGCGGACCTCTGCCTGCGACGACGCACACGTACGCGCTCCGTTGCAGGGAAAAAAGAATAATCGATCGCGTAATTGGAAAATGTTCTCGGAAAACGCGTCGGCTGCGAGCTGCCGCGCTCGCGACTCATTGAATTTTCTCTCCCGCGGCCTTTTTTTTTTCTTCTTGCTCTTTTTTCTTTTCATCTTCGCTGCAGCAGGCTAACAATAGCCTGCAGACTTGTGCACGCGATACGTATACGTACATACAAAGTATAGCCGGTACACATCATGCACGGAGGCTGCTGCAGTGTGGCAATAGGTGCGCGATTCTTCGAGCAGCAGCAGCAGTTCGCTCCAAAGAGAGATGACAAAAGATGTTCCGAGAAGTGCATTCGCGCGTAAGTTGCATCGAGCATATCTGTAGCTGCGATAGCTGGTCGACTAGGAGCTGCATATAATATACGTACAAGCTGCACCTCGGCCTGCAGAGACCAGCTCGATCCCAGAGTGTACGTACCGTCCTCTCCTCAGCCGTAGGCGTGAACAGTATCTATTCGAGGTAGCCGATTTGCATCTTTGTCGCGTATCCAAAGGCCGGGTCGCGCCACCATAAGGTCGCGAGTTGCGCGCGACGTGTTCAAAAGTCGAGGAAGAACTAGAAGTAGAAGAAGAAAAATAAGAAGAAGCTGCCCGTGGAGGCGTAGGAGCTGTAGCAGCGCCGGGAGAGCCCGACACTCGACACAAACTTTGCAGCTCGATAGCTCGTGCTATGCAGATTATATGCAGTGCTGTACAGCTGCCTCGACGGACTTTCGACGGACGGATTTTTCGTCAATTAAAAATCATTCGGTCCGTGTCGCTCGCGTGATCATCGCGACTGGCGCATTCGTGCAGCCTCTCGTACGTCCACAGAGAGAGAGAGAGATGTGCAGGGCAATTACAGCTCTCGAGAGAGTATAGCGATGCACACTGCGGCATAGCCAACACACACCAACACACGGGCAGGGATGCAGTTTCTCTCTCTCATTGGCTCGAACCGTTGCATCCTCGTACTGCTCGCTGCGAGTAGCCAAGTGCAGTGCCGGGGACCACCACGGGTGCAAATCGGGCTCGACTCGACGTGCAATATACAGCATCTCTCGTACTCTCGTATAAGCTGCATCCACCGGTGTAGCGACGACGTGCCCTGCGATCCATCCTATACGAGTATATACCTATGGATACGAACGGATTCGCAGCGAGAGAGCCCGAGTGTGTGTATATGTGCTGCTTTGGTCGCATTTGCAGTCGTTGTATAGGTATACGGCAGCAGCGTTACAAGGTGCAGGGGTACATGGGTTGCAGCCGCAGAGCTAGCACAGGCGATCACACACACACACGTATAGGATATTGTAGAGCGCGCGCTCGACTATACGTGCGCGGCGTAGGTAGTGGGACGAGAAACGAGCGCTCGATGCCGGCCGCGGTGGGGGTAGGCGCGTCTATAAGAGGAACCCCGACAGCGAGAGCGCCTACAGTCGACTCCTTGCTTTCGGAGCGAGTCCGCGTCGCTCGCGTCTTCGCTCGGCCCACTGGCAAAGTGCGCGCATCCAAGTCTGTGTCTCCCACCTCTCTTACCCCCTGTATACAGAGCAGCCCCGTCCTCGCGCAGTTTGTGTTTACGCAGCCGAGTGTACCTATTTATTGTTATCGTTATCGAGGCAAACGTTGACGTTGACACACGGCATTGCGTTCGATTTCAATTTCGTTGGTGCGCGATCGCAGGTGCAGTGCATCCTGGTGCATACGGGATATAGCAACGAAGTACAGAGAGAGAAAAGAGTCTCTTGCATCTCTTGATCGATTTCTGTGTTCTCCATTTCTGTGCGTGTGCGTCGATTCGATTTACGAACGTGTGCGACTCATGCTGTAAGCGAGCTTATTGCGCTCGATGCAGCATCGAATATCAGAGTGCGGGCATTCCTCCAGTCCTAAAACTAGCTGAGATATAATAGTAGAAGAAGTGTTTGCGTGATATATACAAATGTGCGTGTGTGAGAGGCGCTTTTAAAAAGCAACAAGTTCTCTCTGTTTGTCGCTGCAACGGATGCTGCTTTCTGTGCTTGCGACCTCTGTGAGGAAAGCTTGAGCTAAGCGGAGAGACGAACAATCGCTCGAGGCTTGGAGCTTTTGGTCGATCGAATCCATTCCCAGGGACGAATAAAGAAGTCCAGTTTCGAGCCATCCTCGTTACTCGACGAGAAATGCATCTGAATTTTGGCAACGGAACGAGCTGCCGGCGGCGGCAAGGCACTTGGGGCTGCTCGTGGCTGGTCGCGACGCTGGCCCTCGCGCTCCTATTGTGCGCCGAAGCCGTGTCCAGTCTCGACCTTGGTCCGATCGTGAGAGTCGCCCAGTGCAGATCGCAGTGCTTGAAGAGGCACAGCCTCGACGGCTCCTGCGAGTGGTGGCGGCACGGCGAGACCGGCTGCAACGAGGTACGTATCTCGGCCAAGCCAACTGCAACTTTCTACAGCTACCTCTGTAGCTACCTTTACATGCTGCATAGTGTGCCTGCTGCACTATGTTCTTTTGCGCGCGCGATCTTTCCTCGCTCCTTTGCTCCTATATAACTCCTATATAGCTCCTATATATACAGTATATTCACTGCACCTATATACCCGTACCAATATTTTTTTCTTCTTCTTCCCCTTCTTGTTTCTTCTTCTTCTTCTTCTTCTTCTTCTTCTTCTTCTTCTTCTTCTCTCTACTTCTTCTTCTCTGGAGCTCTCTGGGCTCTCTATTTATATGTATATATAGCGACAAAGAAACGGGCGCAGCGAACACGCGCGAGTTCGCGTATACACACACACACACACACACAAACAACACACAGACACTTGCACGAAGCTATCTGCACAAGTTTGTATGGGGTTTTTTGCAACTATATAGTGTCCGTCTCTCTTTCTCTCACTCGCTTTCAGTGTTTGTACGTGTGTATGAATGTGTGTGCTGTTTCTTCTTATTTTGCTTCTTCTTCTCGAGCTGGACGCCCTTTCGTGATCTGCGGCTGCTGTTGCTATTGCTCCACAAGACCAAGAGTGAGAGAGAAGACGATTTTGCTCTTTTGCTCTATCTTTTTCTTTCTCTTTCTCTTGCTCTACGTGTTCGTTAGTTAGGAAGTATGGTCTATACCAAGAGAGAGAGAGAGAAGGTTTTTCTTATATACTTTACCTAGCGGTTGTTCGAGAGAGAAAGAGAGACGAGATATAGACCTAGCCCGGAGAATTGTGAACATGTATGTCTTATACGTACTATCTGTACGTATATAAACCGTACATTCGTAATTTACGTGCAGAAGGAACTTTGACTTTTTGACTGTACACATAGATAAAGAGTCTCGTACCTCGTGATATCTTCTTTTCCTTTTTTCTTTTTACGTTTTCTAGGTAAAAAAAATTGTCACGAAATATGTGTACGAACTCTCACGTACGACAGACGGACAGTGGCTCCTGTAGCACGTAACTAGTGCATCGTTTCGTTCGACCGATGCTTCGTAATTGCGAGAATGTAATAGCCAAGCGTAATGTGTTTAGCATCGGGAAACAGTAAAGAATTCGTTTATACGCAATAAAGATTTTTATACGCAGCTCGCATTCGAATCACGAGCTGTATAACGCTCGCTAATAACCATGTGCTGGCTATATTATGCACACACTCGTAAGGTTATTACCATTGTTCGCAAAAACATAGCCGCGGCGCGCGCGAACTCGAATGCGCTGTCCGTATTATTAAATAGCCCTTTTTTTCATTCTCTTTCACGTTGGGCGTATGGTTTATTTATACAGAGACCTATGTCCGCACGGCCCAGACTTACGTTATATTATAATAATATAACTCTCCCACTCGTGCGTACATACGCACGTATTCCATTATTCTTTTCTCGACGTTATATTCATCATAAATCCCAATGTTCTATTCAGCATCAATCACGGAATGTAGCGCATGTAGCAGCAGCAGCAACAGCAGCAAAAGAGAGAGAGAGAGAGAAAGAGCTAAGGCGTAAACTCGAAAAAATGTATATTATGTTCTTACGTTACGCGCGGCGTTTGCTTGCTGTTGCCGCCACCGCTAAATAAGTTAATTTTTCAATGTCGTGTACTGTACTCTAGGTACTCTACGAACGTGTGCGGACTTTCTAAAAGCTTTTCGGCCACACACACACGCGCGCGCGCCTACGTAGAGCTGTTGTATACACACACATAAGCGGGTTTTATATTATTGAAAAAAAAAAAAATAAAACGAAACAAAACAAAACCGATCGTATTTGCAGAGCTCCAAAAAAAGAGCACGAGAAAGAGCGCAAAGTTACGAGTGCCGCTGGCGCATTTGCTCAGCTGCAAAAACGAGTCTATAATATGATGCGCGAATGTGTTTATTTGTATTACGCATAATACCACGTGTAATTGCAATCGTAATGACCAATGTAAAAGGCTCGTTTTGAAGCGTACATGTATGCAGGCCGTAGGTAGTCGATGCTGCCATGCATATGCTACATTCATTGCGCCGCTCCGCAGCCCACCTCGTACCGAAAGCTTTAAAGATAAAGTTATGCTCGCGAAGCCGTATTATACGTAGAGCTATTCGCAACGTGAGTGATAAACACGAATATGCGAGTATTTATTAATCCAAGCGTACGCACGCGGCCGCACTACAGCCGCATATTATATATATGGAGAATATGTACACCGTTACTGTACATACATGTCCTATATGCTTAAACTCTCTCTCTCTCTCTCTCTTTTTCTGTCTATTTCGTCGCAAGCGTTGACTAAAACAAACATTACAGTGCGAGTCCAAACATTCGACTCGCACAGTTCGAGCGGGGCCAAGTTTCAAGCTTTACGGATGCGCGCATGGACGTAGCAGTACGCAAACACACGTAGGTTTCTTTTTGGTGGACTACGCGAGGTGAAAAGAGAGAGAGAGAGAGAGAGAGATGGCGAGCGAGGAGAATAACACGAAGAGTACGCCGCGAAGCACTAATAGCTCGCTCGCGATCATTAGACGGACGAGCAAAAAAAGATTTATGATCGGCCTAGAGAAAGAATAAAAGTGAGAGACGGGATCGCGGCGTTATATAGCTTCCTTGGTTTCTTGTCCTTGCGCTTCTTCTTCTTCTTCTTCTTCGTCTTCTTCTCATTGATTTTCTTGCTCCTCTCTTGGTGCAGGCAGCCCCCCTACAAACAGACAGCGGCACATCGGAGCAGTGTACACAGCTACGAGAACTCGTGCTCGGTAATTAAAGAGCGCGCGGCCGGAGCACACGTGCGTATATACCTACGGGTATATGGATATAGGCAGGACTGGTTGTGCTTTTTCGGAGCCCCGTCATTATTACAGAGCGCCGTCGAGACTCGAGATGGCTACAGCCCGAGCTCGCTTAGATTTTCGGCGAAGACGCGATCGTAAAAAGGTTGCGCAACTCGCGGCTGGCCCCGTAGCTCTCTCTGCTCGTACACACGCACGCACACCGGAAGCAGCGAATTATATAGACTTTTGATCTCGACTCGACCAACTTGTGTCGCGAGGTGACAATATCTGCTCTTTCCACGCGCACCTCGCATTGTGTCGAACGCTACGTTGTACGCTCCTCGCTGTGGCCGAGCTCGCACTCCTTTCGGCTCATTCTTATATAATGACAGCTCTTTCGGCCGTGTGTGTCCGTACGATCTCTTCTCGGCTCTTTTCCGCGATAATAACGGCCTTTCGATATCCTTATAGCTGTGCGCGAGCTTCGTATATAATAACGGAGTGCGATTACACATTCGGCATCGGCGAGGCCGAAAAAAGCCCAACGAGAAACGCTCTCGTGTGCGAGCTGTGCGTATGTAACTCGCGAGAGGCTTTCTCTCCGTGCTCGTGTGTTGCGCACAAGCACGCGTACGTACGGGCGAACGGCGAAAATTTAGCGAAAAGCTCGTCGTCGCTCGCGAACAAATCGCTCAATCAACGTCGGTAATACATTGTACATGCGAGCTGCAGTCGAGTGCAGTGTGCACGCGTTGTATCGGGCTATTATGCACGCGAGAAGGAACCCTCGGGGCAATTTAACGATCCCATACACACAACAATCGACGGTGCACTGCGACAAAATTTACATTACGACTCGACGAAAGAGATATCTCGGCGCGGTGTATTACAAAGTCGCTCTCTCTCTCTCTCTCTCTCTCTCGGCAGTGTAGCTGATTTTCGATATACATTTACACAGTCACACACGAACGAGCAGGGCCAGACACACAGGTAGATTTTGAAAAGGACGAAACGAGTTACGGTCGTGCTCGTTGCAGATCTGGCGCATCGCGTTTTGCGTCTCGTACACACATCGAGAGAAACGCCGCGTGCATATATAAATCGATTGCGCAATAAACGTATAGAGAATTCGTGTAAATGTACATTCGTATACGTGCAGCTGGATATTCTGCTTTTGTTTTCTATTCGTGTACGCAACATCACGTTTGCAAAATTTCTAAAGTTTTAACGGTTACGCGACAATATTATATGTATAAAATGGTATAAATATACATAGTCAGCTCACGGAGACGCGCAGGTATGCATGTAAGAGCATAAAAAGCTAGCGAAGAAAGCGCCTCGCACGAGAAAAAGAGAGAGAGAGAACTGAAGAGTCGAGATCGAGAGAGAAAGAGCGAGAAAGAAAGGCGCGATAGGGTAAATTGTGGATTCGGTGCACGTGGGTTACACAATTATTCACGCAAATCCACCGAGTAGTCGTATATGTAATCTGCATTTCAATTCGGGCTCCAGCCCCAACCATTACGCAATAGACGCTACGTGTATATACGTATATACGTCGACGAGTCTGCAGCATATACACAATAGCCCACTAAATCATCGCTCGACGCTCGCTGTAGCGCACAAAAGCTCGTCAAGTCTAAACTCATCCCTTTGCATAGATGGCGGACGCGCTCGATACGACGCCTCCCCCGCCTGCTCTGTACTAGGCTCTCGTGCGAGCGCCGCCGAGTCATTATCGCTCTTGCTGATGCTCGTACGGCGCGTATATACACATGCATGCGTGCCATGCGATATGCTGCCTTTTTAGAGAGGAAAGGAGAGCGAGCGAGAAAAAATACGACTCGTATAATGTAGCTAGCAGTACAACGACGACAATGACGACGATCAAGATAGATATAAATTTCTCTCATCCTGTTTCTCTTTTTCTCTTTCTCTCTGGCTCTCTCTATCTCTCTCTCTCTCTCTCTCTCTCTCTCTCTCTCTCTTTCTCGCTTTGCCGATAACACCAACTGCCATTGCTGCTCTTTTGCAATTACTGCGCCAACATTCAGGTTATATAGCCCGAGCCGACTGCGCCGACTGTATCGTCTTTTCTTTCATTACATCGGAGCTCTCGCACTACACTCGTTTATTAGAAGCTCTCGCGCGCGCTCACGGCACACGGGGGCTTAATAATGTCACT